GAAGGACAGTTTTTCAGAGTACAAATTCTAGGTTGATGGAAATCTTTTCTCAATCACAAGTATTTTAGTCTGTACTTTTCTCATACAATTCCTGATGAGAAGCTTATTACAATTTTCTTTGTCACTATTTCTTTGCTACTTCTATTATAATTTTCTGCAAGCTATTTTCTTCTTTTGCCTTTGACTCCTTTCAGAATTTTTTCTAGATCCTGATTTTGCACAATTTGAAAATGATATGCCTAAGTGTTACTGTTGCATTGTTGTTATATTTATTCTGCTTGGTGTTCTCTGTACTTTCTGGATCTGTGGTTTGTTGCCTGACATTAAGTTGAGGGAAATTTTCAGGCATTACTGCCTCAGGTATTTCTTCTGCCCTCTCTCCTTCTCTTCCTAGTATTCTCATTATACATGTTACACCCTTTTAGTTGCCCAACAGTTCTTGGAAATTCTGTTCTAGTTTAGTTTTCAACCTGTTTTATCTTTGCGTTTCAGTTTTAGAAGTTTCTATGAGACATCCTCAAGCTTAGAGATTTTTCCTTAGCTTTGTCCATTCTACTAATAAGTACATCAAGAGGCCGGCGCTGTGGTGCAGTGGGTTAATGCCCTGGACTGAAGCGCCAGCAACCCATATGGGTGCCGGTTCGAGACCCGGCTGCTCCACTTCCAATCCAGCTCTCTGCTGGGGCCTGGGAAAGCAGTAGACAATGGCCTAAGTCCTTGGGCCCCTGCACTCGTGTGGGAGACCCAGAAGAAGCTCCTGGCTCCTGGCTTTGGATCGGCACAGTTCCAGCCATTGTGGCCAATTGGGGAGTGAACCAGCGGATGGAAGACCAATCTCTCTCTGCCTCTCCTCTCTCTGTGTAACTCTGACTTTAAAATAAATAAATAAATCTTAAAAAAGTACATCAAGAGCATTCTTCATTTCTGTTACAGTGTTTTTAATCTCTAATATTCCCTTTTAAAATTGTCTTAGTATTCCTATTTTATTAATTGGGGTCATAAGTGGATTAAATACAAAACTGAGGACAAAAACACTGGGAAGATAAATTGTGGGAACCAGCGGCTATGCAGTCCAAGAGTTGTGTCAATAACAAATAGATTATTTGGTGAGTAAACATTGGAGATAAAATTGATTATGCCTTGGAGTTATAGTTCAAAATTTGTCAGTGAATAAACCAAGGCAATATGAAAGGGTACTCAAGTTTTCAGACCCAGAAAACTCTTTGAGAACATAATTTAATTTCATTTTAGTACCAGAGAAATATGGCCCCAGTTAGAACGAATGGATGGAGAAACCAGCTCTTTGGTTTCAGTGTTTACAATCCATGAGAAAAATGGGCAGAAAAGTAAGTTAAATCACAAAGAGAGTTGAGAGATGTTATTAGGACACATGTCACAAATAAGAAAATCTAAGGAAGTTACTTTAAGGATTTGGCAACAGGTGAATTTACATATTTTGAAAGGAAAAAAAGACAAGAAAGAAAAGTACGTTGAGACAAGCCTAATGGACAGCTGGGGGTGAACAAAGTCATCATTCTCTGTGAGGACTAGTTGAAGGCATACTGCTCTAAGTGCTTATACAATGTTTATCCCAGGCCCAACAACTGAAATATCTTTTGAGAAAGCACACAAATATAGAGCTCATTTCCAATCACTAGAAGAGCAATTGTTACATTTTGGTTTTGACTGATGCATATCACTCACACATATTTGCAAGGTACACCTGATGTTTCAGTATATACTTCACTGAGTGAAGATCAACTCCAGGTAAATAACATATCTGTCACCTTGAGCACTTCTCAGTGGCAAGAATATTCAAACTGAAGGGAACTTTTGAAGTCAGCAGAAACCACTAGAACAGAAAAGGTTTACAACAGGAAAGGGTAGCAAGAAGGCTGCCAAATAAGAACTCAGTGGAGAATGGGAGCGTGGAATGGGAATTCCTCTGGACAACTGGCATTAACAGAGGTACCCAGCAAGTGTTGGCAAAGACAATGGAGAACAGGTCACATCTGGCAGGGGGTTTATCCTGCCTCCTGGGTATGATGCATTCCTCATGCCAAGTGAATCTGGGGTTCCTGGGGAGTGACACTGTGTGCCTTATTTACATTTGCATTTAAGCAGAGTAAACAGGACACAGAACAAAATCTGATGCAAAGATGCAAAAAAATTTTTTTAATAAATTTTGAAAACTTAGATCTTGGCCTAAGAATGAGAAACCTTCCCTCTAGGATGGCTTCTGGGTAAGACAGGTGGGAGGAAGTCCTTCTCACCATTTATTTGTGTCCTCCTTTCCAAGGCTCTGTGGTGAGGATTGACAGGTTTCTCAGTGTGGGTGACAAATATTTGTACACATTTGGGGTCTATTTTTATGCAGAATGTGGATAGCACATTGCCCCTCCCTGAGATGCCCCTACCACTCCCTCCCAACCTCCCACCCCAGTGCTGTTCACCATGGAATGGGTAAACAGTTGCTACATAATTCTTTGCATTTTGGAAAGCATTCCTTCCTCTCACAGTGATAATTCTTTGAGCAGAGCTGAAGAACCGTGGAGGACCTCAGGCACATGACAGAGCAGGCACCATCTCAGTGATCCTTGTCTCTGCTTCATTAGATCTGCAATTGCTAGGAAGAAAGCCAACAGTTGTCAGGAAAGTAGGAGCAAAATTGCAAGGGGGAGGAAATGTTTACAGGTCCATCTCTGAGCTTCCCTCTCATGGCTCAGAGAGTCTTTTTTTCTGTTGGTGACACTACATATTAAGAAGCAAGTGAGTAGCCACAACCATAAAACTGCCCAAATTGCTCAAGGCATTCCTCTATAACCAGGAGGCTGCCAGACAGCAAAAGTGTTCCAAAATGAGGTTTTCTTCTCTAGTTGTGTTTAATACATATAAGGCCAAAAGTACACATGATTCTGTATGGCACCAAGCACTTGACAGATCACAAAGAGAAAACAACATAGACAGCCAAAGATCTGCTTCGGAGATTGGGGAATAGGCGAGGGACAAATTGCTCAATAAGTCCCACCAGTATTTAAACTCTGGAGAGGAGAGTAAGTCAAGTGAGCATCAGGGATAATCTTTTCACAGATATGTTACTGGGTTTGGTTTTCCAGCCACAAAAACAACAATGGTGTTTGCAACACCATGGAAATGGACATCTACCTTTAAAGTCCAGACTCTCCTCCTCTCCCGTCTTTCCTTGCCCTCCAGGAAAACATTACTGCTATACCTTGAATATGAATTAGCTCCCAAAGTCATTTAGGACTTCACACTCCAGGGTCACAAGTTGGTGGTTCTGGGAGGCTGGAGACTTCATCTAATTATGATGTTTGGGAGGTGGCCCTAGTTAGGTCAGCAGAGGCTGCCCTCAGAAGCTAGTTCTTGCAATTGTGTTGATTACATAAGCCTGAGTTGGCCCTAGTCACTTTCTCTCTGCTTTACAGATCACCGTGTAATCACTCCTCCACACATATTCCCCCATTGCCTTATGCTAGCCTCCCCTAGACAGCTGAACCAATCAGGCTTGCCCAATTTTAAGCTATAGACATCCAAAACTATGAACTGAATAAACCCCCTTCCTTCATAACTAGCTTGTCTTTGGTATTTTGGTGAAGAAAGAAAGAGTAATGAGAAGTTGACAAACACAATTACTTTTTTTTGCCTATGTATTTCCTTTTTTAAAAAAACTTTTATTTAATAAATATAAATTTCCAAAGTACAGCTTTTGCATTACAATGGCTTCCCCCCCATAACTTCCCTCCCACCTGCAACCCTCCCCTCTCCCATCCCCTCTCCCATCCCATTCACATTAAGATACATTTTCAACTATCTTTATATATAGAAGATCACTGCCTCATCTTAGCCTCGACATGCTCTCTTTCCTGAACACCACGTGGTCCAACCTAAGCTTCTGCTCATTCTCTGCAATGTGCCAGGCACTATTCCTCCAACCTAAGACCTTGGCCACAGCTTGTCCTATCTATCTAGAGTACCCCTCCTTAAACACCCAAAAGATCCAGATCTGTACTCCTTCAACCCTTTGGTCAAATGTCACCTCAGTGTGACCCATCAGCAAACCCTATTTTAACTTAAATTTTGGATACCACACACCCTCCCACTTATCTTCACTTTTTTTCACAGTAATAATCACTTTCTCACTTGGAATCTATTTAATTTACTGTTTTGAGTATTTATTGTCCGTACCCTACTCGAATGTAAACAGAGGTTTTTCATCTGTTCAGTATTCTAAACACCTATGTCAGTGCCTAAAACTCAATAAATGTTGAATGACATTAGGAAAGAAGAAAGAGAGAGAGAGAGAGAGAGAGAGAGAGAAAGAGAGAACGAGAGAAAGAGAGAAAGAGAGAAAGAAAGAAAGAAAGAAAGAAAGAAAGAAAGGAAAAGAAAAGAAAAAGAAAGAAAAGATATAATTTCTTATATAATCTTTGAGAATTGTTTCATGAATCTGCATAGACATATATCCTATAATCTATTCGCTCTTTATAGGGAACTAAACAGCATCAATAACAAAAGACCCCAATAAGGAAATAAAGTATGCCAAGAGGAAGAAAGTTAGGAAATTGTCAAAAAAAATAAATAAAATAAAAAGACCAGATGTCTCAATGATAGCAAGGAGTAAGACTGGACCTTCTTAGAAGACAATGAATGTTACTTACTCTGGGAGTGTTGCCTCATATCACTGGAATATTGGAATACTGAAAATAGATAATAATGACAGACAAAAATATGAAATGTCTCAAAAATAATTTGAGTCAAACTTCATGACTTAGGAAAAGTCACTTTTAATTCTTTTTCTTTCTTCAAGCTAGCCTTCCAAAAATTGGCAGTCATCATTGCTGACTCTATCCACCCAGTACAGATGTAAGAACTAACACAATCAAGGGTGTTAGGAGAGAGCAAGCTGAGAAATACTAAAAATGTCAATGTGAGATCAAACCCCTCCACCCTCCACTGTGTTGTTTCTGCCAGCCACATACCTTTGTTAAAATTCATTTTGTTTATTGTTGCTCCTTTTATAGCTTCTCTGTCCTGCTCTTCTTGCTGTGCAGTTGCTAAGGAAACAATAAAAAGTGGTGGATACAGCAACAGTGAGGGAGGGATTAGAATACCACACGGCTGGGTGAAGTTTATTTAGGTTATGGGAGAGAAGGAGATACACTCTAGAATTAATGTGATCGCTCTCCTGTCTCTAACAGACTATAAATACACATGCCAGGCATTCAAGCCTCTCTCCTTACTGGAACTCAAGAGCTTTTAAAGACAATTGAATCTACACTGAGGGGCAGGGGTGATAATCCTACCAGGTATGCAACTGGAACATGGGATTCAACTCATTTGTTAAACTCTAGCTTGTTTTTTCAATGTCTTGCCATCCACGCATGTTTCTCTTCTTCTGGTTCTGCCTTTCCCTCTGGAAACCAAGATCCTTTGAATACATCCAAGATTATCATACAATTATCACAGTATTAGCCTCACCAACTCAGTCAGATTGGCAGCTAGAATCCCTCAATCACCCTTTGATTAAATACCAGCTCAATGTCTCAAATTCTTCCAGACCCAAGGTTTCACCTCTTTCTATGTGTTGAGGGCCAAAGATGAGAATGGAAATCAAGCATAATGGAATGATTTTGTTTGTATGTCTATTTAATGTTGTTATGGAACCAAAGATCCATAGACATTCCCCTTGACCTTAGTGATCATTGACTCTCATAAAAGGGGTGGAGTGTTTACATGTGCTCTATGCCTATATCTACAAAAATTATAACTGCATGAGAGTACGTGGAGAAATGTCATCTGATGAAGTGATGTCAGAGAATCGGGAAACTTTCTGGCTGGACTTGGATTGAAACAAGTGATGTCATGAGGGGAAGATCAAGCTTTAAAACGTAGATTAGCATTTGAAAAACAGAAGAGGAAGATGGGATAGGGGCAGGGAGGAAGAGGAAAGACAAGAGAAAGAGGAGGGATGTTGATGTTTGTTTTGTAATCTATGGAAAAGGTCTCAGAATCAAGACTGATTCAGTGTGTGAAGAAGTGGGAACCTACCAGCATGCCCATTCTCCACTGGGGTGGCTATTGCACACTCAGGCTCCACCCTACCCCACCCTAAGTTCATGTCCTCACATTTCTGAAGGTGGGAATCTGTGAAACCATACTCCTTCAGCCCATCTCTTCTTCAGTGTACTTTCATTCCCAGCTCTCTTCCCTTCAAGGTCAGATAATCTGCTCTCAGGAAATGACTCATACCAGGGTATAAATTACCAATATTGACACAGCATGTTACCTGAGATAAGCAGCCTTTACCCAAATAAGTGACGTAGAAGCTGTGATTGTAAGGGACTTGGAGGGGTAGGGCGGGCATATTCCTGGGAATTGTAACTCACCACTTCCCCCAAAATTCCTATCCCATCTGAGTGTGGGATCTACTGTCCTTCTTTAGTTGTTTGTTTAGGGTCTTTCCTCCACTAAAGTTGTTAGGCAATTTTGTTCACCTTGTTTACCTCTCCATCCAGTGCCTGGAAAGAGCCTAGGCCACCACCAAAAACACTTGTTAATTGACTTCAGTGAATGTTGTCTGTCTCAAGGGGCCTAATCAACTGAGGAAGACAAGGGGAGGTAAGAAAGCTTGAAGCTTAAAAATAAATATAAGTCTATTTTACATGAAGTACATGTCTACTGGAAAATGTAAATATAAATTAGCAAAAAGAAAATAAAAATCATTCATAATTCTCTCTTCTGGGGTTGATCATTGCTAACATAATAATATAAACCCATCCTGATTTTTATCTATATTTCTATGTATGTATACAAAAACACACTGTACTGTACTTAACAATTTATAGCTTGCTTTTTAAAATACAATAAGTCATGAACATCTTATCATGTAATAACATGTTTTATGTCTTTTTTAATGACTCTCTAATATTTGAGAAATATCACATATATTCTACTAATTCCCTGTTGCTGGACAATAGCTTGTTTCCAACGTTTCAGTGCTGTTTATAAAAATAGCAACCAACCTTTGTCGCTAAATCTTTGTGGTTGCTATTTCCTCTTACAAGTCAAAATATTACCATTAAACGTAAAATGCTGGTGATATTTTTTGAGTGTAACTTCAGTGCCAGGCACTTTACAGAACATTATTTAACCCTCCCCAAACTCCATTATTCACAAACAAGGAAGACATTATTCACAAATGAGGAGATGCTGAGTAATTTGCTAAATTATATCTTTGGTGTTTCTGATAATATTGCCTAATAGTCTTCTGGAAATGTGTCTTGGAATGCTTTAGGGAGCAGCTAGGAACCTGTTGCTTCAGGTAAGCCCTCCATTAAGGTGCGATTACACAATCTCCTTTAGTGAACAGTTCCCAGGTTTTATTGGCCTGTCATCATCTGTTTTTCCCCTGTGTTTACCCAAACCTTGGGTATAGGGTGATAGTTTAATTACCTTATTACCTGCTAATGTGGGATATCTTTTGACTCAACCCCTGATCAGACTGCATTCCAGAGGAGCAGCCCAGTCCAGGTCTCAGAGTCCTAAAATATTGGTCTAGACCCTGATTTCATCTCCTTTCCTGGAGTGGAGTCTTGGGGCACATGAGTTCATTTACCCAAGCCTTGGCTTCTATATAAAATGCCAATAATAACATCAACCTAACTCATCTCTCAGGTTTGTGATGATGGGATGAGATAGTGAACTAGAAAGGGTTTTGCTTCTAGAAAAAAAGCATAGGAATGTCAGGGAGGGTTATCATCATTGACATCATAATCATCATTGTCATCCCTGTCTTAATAATAATCTTGCTTTATTCTTGCCTTTGCTTTCTTCATCTGGACCAACTTGCTTTTGATATCATTTCACGTGTAAATAAACACTTTTATCGAAATCTGTATAAAACAAAGGGAACCATCTTTTGCTTGTATTTGTTAGTAGCAAGATTTGTGTGCCTTGTTCTCTTGGGCTAGCAACCAAAGAGGATGAAGAGGGTGACGAGGTTTAGACAGGGATGTCGGGTGGGTCCTGGGAAGGACAGGAAAGACCCGAGTTGGAGGTCACAATCCAGAGAAATGTCCATCTCCTAAGCTGCAAAAATATCAGTGCTTTTAGTAAGAAAGCCACCAGAGAGAAAGAAAAGAAGACAGGAGGGAAAGAAAGAGAGGAAAGCAGAAGTCAGAAAGGAAGGAATTTTGGTATTGAAGGACACCAGGACTGGGGTGGAGGGTGCAGTTTTAAGAGGAAGCAATTAATTGAAATTCAGACCAAGCTGAATGAAACTGGATCACACATTCCAGAGCTCCTATTTAGAGAACAGTGCCTTAGAGAAAAGTACTAACAGGGAAACCGAACCAGACCTGTACAAACCCACAGCTTGACCCATAGTTAAGTTTGCATAACATTTTCCTAATCTTTAAAATGAAGGAGATAAATCATGTACTTACACCATTCTAATCCTGAATTCCACAATTGTCAGAGGTATTTCCTATCAAATTCCTTTGTCCTCTAGGCTATGAAAATAGCCATGACTCTGGACTTCAAGAACGATGAAATCTCCCACCGAAGGGTCATAAGAAGAGATCTAAATCCCCCAGTATGTTGTTCAAGTTGATATGGCCCAAAATGTATTTTGTCTTTCTGGAAACCACAACACAGTATGGAATGAAGTTTTTTTCAGAGGTCCCATAAATGTTGCCTACAGGTCTGGGGGTCTTGAGAAAATTGAATATGAAAAGAAGTTTAATTTCCAAACTTCATTTTTGCTTGCTAATTAATTTATCATTCTGGAATTTGAAAAAAAAAACGGGTTACTTTAATATAGGCTTGGAAACAACGCAGAAAGAAGATTAAAGTTACTTCTCAGGAAGAATTCTGAGGATAATACAAAGAGAAAAGAACATGCGTAATTGGTGTTAAGTATGACATGTAAGAAATTAATTTGAATGCTTTCCAAATGGAGCTATTCTCTGCCATAATTTCTTAAAGATGCATTTTCTGCCCAAGGATGGGTATGAGACGAATGGCTTTCCTTCTCCCTTATTTAAATCAGAGAGCTAGAAATCATTTCCACTGCCAAATTATTCCAACATTTTTACTTGACTTTAAAAATGTAGTATGGTAATACAAATCGGTTAATACTGTAAAAATGCAAATGACTCAGAGTAACTTACCAAGCTGTTGGTGGGGGAGAGGATCAGAGGAGGGTTCCTGGGATTCAATCACTTACTTTCCCATCTGTTGGAGTCAAGAAAATTGATTGCACAGGTATCTCCAGCAATTGTTTACATGGAGAACAGGGACTTGGTTTTCTAGCCCATCATGTCAGATTGAAAAGCTCAATCTTAAATCATTTAGACATGAAGTTAGACAATTATGTCTGTGAAGAAATCCAATTCCTGGAATTAAATAGATGAAAAAGTGCTTAAACTCGATAGGAAGCTATGAGTCTTATAAGTGATATTTTGGAAAGAAATTTATTGAAAATTATGAGAACCTAATTTAAGTTAATGAAGTGAATTGTGTTGATTACAGAGATGAACCTGGGTTTTACAGAGCTACCCTGAGAATTTCTGTTGTGGGGAAATACCCAGACAAAGACTGAACCCAGCCAGCCATCATCAAAGGAAATGCAAGACTGGTTGTGGGTCTTCCCTTATGGGAGCACTCTGGAAAGCGGTAACAACAATGCAAAAATCAGGCCAGCCTCTCATCTTGAAATGATAGAGAGAAGCAAAGTGTGAAGGTATGAAGAATAGAATAGCTTAGAGAAAAGAGAAAAGGGAAGAAACAGCATAGACAATATGGTGGCATTCCCAGAGTAACAAATGCTGGCAAGGATGTGGAGAAAAGGGAACACTTACACTCTTTTGGTGGGAATGCAAATTAGTGAAGCCACTGTGGAAAATGGTGTGGAGATTTCTTTAAAAACTAGAGATAGACTTGCCATATAATCCAGCAATCCCCCAACTGCACATAGACCCAAAAGACTTGAACACAACTTATCAACATGATACCTGCATCACCATGTTCATAGTGGCACTGTCCACATGGCCAAAATTTAGAATCAACCAAGTTGTCTGTCGTCAAAGGAATGGATAAAGAAAATGTGGTATATATATACAATGGAATATTATTCAGCTATAAAAAAATAAAATTCTACCATATATAGCAAAATGAATGCAACTGGAGGACATTAAGTTGAGTGCAATAAGCCAGACCCAGAAAGACAAGTACCACATGTCCTCCATTGTATATGGGAACTAAAATTTTAAAAGGAAACAAACAAACAAAAAAACCCCAAGAAAGATAGAATAAAGAAATGTCTGTGTGTATCAGTAATGCTGCACATATAATTTTGTATAACTTTGTTTATACCTTTTTCAAACCAATGGTTAAGAATGTTTTACTACTATATTTTTAATAATCTGTGATCATACTTTTTTTAAAGAATTTTTATTATTTATTTGAAAGAGTTACAGAGAGAGGTAGAGCCAGAAAGAGAGAGAGAGGTCTTCCATTCCACTAGTTCACTCCCCCAAATGACTACAATGGCTAGAGCTGAGCTGATCCGAAGCCAGGAGCCAGGAGCTTCTTCTGGGTCTCCCACATGAGTGTAGGGGCACAAGGATTTGGGCCATCCTCCGCTGCTTTACCAGGCCATAGCAGAGAGCCGGATCAGAAGAGGAGCAGCCAGGACTCGAACTGGCACCCATATGGGATGCACGCTAAGGCTTTAACCCTGTGTACCACAGCACCAGCCCCTCTGTGATTATACTTTAAAATTTACTGTATATGGTTGAAATGGTCATTTTTTCATTCAATTATTATTTATAGCCATTGTCTATATTCCCACTAAACTAGAGTCTTTTTGCTTTTTGTTAAACTTCTTATTTGGTGAAGTATTAAGCCTTTTTATTGTTGGGGGCCTGGTACTGTGGCTTAGAGGGTAAAGTCACTACCTGCAGTACCGGCATCCCATATGGGCGCCAATTCAAGTCCTGGCTACTACACTTCCAATCCAGCTCTCTGCTATGGCCTGGGAAAGCAGCAGAACATGGCCCAAGTCCTTGGGTCCCTGCACCCAGGTGGGAGACCTGGAAGAAGCTCCTGGCTTCTGGCTTCAGATTGGCACAGTTCTGGTTGTTACAATCATCTGGGGAGTGAACCAGCAGATGGAAGACCTGTCTCTCTCTCTCTCTCTCTCTCTCTCTCTCTCTGTCTTTGCCGCTACCTCTGCCTCTGCTTCTCTGTAACTTTGACTTTCAAATAAATAAATAAATCTTTAAACATTTTTACTGTAATGTGAATTTAAAAAAAAAGAAAGAAAGGGACAAGGAAGGGGGTTGGGGGGGGGGGGCAAGGGACTATCATTATGTTCCCAGAATTCTATCCACAAAGTACACTGAATCTGTTAAAAAGTAAAAATTAAAATAAAAACAAAAAAAGTTTTTTTAAGAAAAGGAAGTATGGTGGCATTCACTGTGGCAGCCCTACTGTGTGAAAGAATGAACATGGTGAAACTTTCAGCCTCCCATAAGAGAAGTGTTCCCCCTTTAACCTGGACTGAAATCCCCACATATTTCTATAACACAGAAAATCAGAACCCTATGGAAAAGCAAACAAGCAGTTATTGGGACTGTTGGAATCAATTAAGCCTTGATTACTCATTCATATCTTGGAAAATTTTTATTTACCAGAAGTTAACCTTTTTGCAGGAATTTGGAAAAAATGAGATACCGTTATTTCCATTTAAATGGTGGAAGGGGGACAATTGGGAAATGCTTGTGAAGCGTTCTCTTCACGCATGTGTTTCACAAGAGTTCATTGAGCAACTAATCTGTGCAAAGTCCTAAACATGAAATAGAGACCTTCAAAGAGGCTTAAGCCAACATCCCTTCCTTCAGGGTCTTGCCATCATCAATTTAGGGATCTAAGTAAGATCTAAATTATATGAAAAGGAACACTCATCAGAGGCAGAACATAAATGCAAAGTGAAAAATAGTCATTTTTAAAAAAAAATCCATGTATTTATTTATTAAGAAGCAGAATGGCAGAGAGAGAGGGAGAGACAGAAAGAAAGGGAAAGACAGAGAGGAGAGTTCCAAAATGGGCATTCACGGATGAGAGCCAGACTTGGACAGACCAACTACCATAAGGATATAGCAAGGTAGTCTGGTGTGACAAAGAGAGTGAGTTTACAATCAGAACAGTCCAGCGGTTTTGTGTTGGACTCAGTGCTCTGCCTTAGTGCCCTCATTAAAATCCCTATCTCACAGGGTAAGATACACAGCAATGAGACTGTCACACAAGTCCAATCTCTTCCCCAAATACCCAGGTCCTTTATACAGCCCTCAGTCCTCAATAAGACAGAAAGAGAAGTAAAAATCAATTCTGTAGTATCTTTGCGAGAGGAGAATAATAGAAGTAGAAAAGGACTCTTTGAAGGTTGAAAGGCAAAGCATCCTTTATGTTCTATTCTTTAAGACAAACCACTATTGGGGAGTAATATAACAAATATCTTACATGTGTCATGAATACACTTCACAATTGGGGATATTGTTAGCAAATTAAGTTTTGCATAGATGGGATCACCTCTCCGTCCTTGCCCCAATATTCTATTTGGTTAACAACTTACAAGTTTTAGTAGTTTCTTTGAGGTGAATCATAGTAATTCTCCAAGTCTCACAATTTTCTCTCATTCTTGATCACTATCATTCAAAAGTAGTGATGCTTTTTTACAAAATATTTACTTATTTGAAAAGGCAGAGTGGCAGAGAGAGAAAGAGAGGGAGAGACAGAGAAAGAGAGCTCTTCCATCAGCTGGTTCACTCCCCAGATGCCAGCAACAGCTGGGGCTGAGCCAGGATGAGCCAGGAGTCCAGAACTGCATCCGAGTCTCGCATGTGGGTGGCAGCAACCCAAGGACTTGGACCATCATCTGCTGCCCTCCCAGACACATTAGCTGGTAGCTGGATCAGAAGCAGAGTAGCTCGGACTCTGATATGAGATGCGGTCATTCAAAGGGGGGGCTTAACACCTTGCACTGCAACGTCCTCCCCTCATGATCAGTGATCATTTAAGAGGTATTCTCCACATAATTAGGTAGTCTCTACCAACTAGGCATGCTTGTCTTCATGGAACTATCCTAAGGGCCAGATGAAAGGGAGAAGGTGACAGAAGAAGAAAATTCCACAGTAAAAGACAAATACGTAGCTGTATACCATCATCAATGAGGGAAGCAGTGTGCTTACCTTTGTGTCTTACACTCCAGATGTATGCAGTAAGAATGAGTCTCTGTCCCTGAGCTTTGTGGTACTCATCCTCCCCCGCCCCCTTTGATTACCATTGCTATTCATATTTATTCACTCTGGAACTCAGAGGGCTTCCATAGCCTTGGAAACTCATTACTGGAGCATAGGGAGATTACTGATGCCATAGACAGGAGTGTCAATTGGTAAAGTCAACAACAGGAGTCACTGTGCACTTACTCCTCATGTAGGATCTCTGTCCTTAATGTGCTGTGCATTGAGATTTAATGCTATAACGAGTACTCAAACAATATATTTCACTTTGTGTTTCTATGGGGGTGCAAACTGTTGAA